AGTAACCTAAAATTCCTGGCCTAAGGTTACAATTATTCTGATAGAAATGCAAACGGGTTATGCAGTAGTCTTCATCTATAATCGTCCCTCCGAGTCCCGTATGTTTTTCCTTTTTAGGAAAAGGACCAAACGAGAGAAACTATCAAGTGCTCGAGGCTTCATACTTCAACACTCAAACACTTGGGGGACTACATAATATACACAGACATATGTATAAAGAAAGCAAAGCAGATTAAGGAAAAATCAAGCCTAAAAGAGTCAAGTACAAAGTAAAAGTCATAAAGCCACGAGCTAAGGCCAAAGAAAAACCTCACTATAGTTAGGGCAAAGGCTATGTACTAAAACGGGTTATAAGGAAAAACCCCGTATCTATTATTCTTCTTTTGAATCGGTTACAAGAAAAATAGTTACGAAAAAGTTATAGATGTAATTCAAATACATGTAAAGTTTTATTCGGAACTCAACAAGGTTCAAAAATAAAATCTTGTCAAAGTTATTTCAGAGAAACATGTGTATTCCTATTTCTTTTGTCGTATGATAATACCATTATGAAGTTGAGACGTCTTCTTCATTAAGTATTGGAATATAAAAGGGGCCTCTTTTATAAAACTCATGTTTAAATTAATCATGAGGTTAACAGAAGCATTTTTTCGGAAAACGAAAATGCAAATTATTCTGTAAGTCCTTAAAAAGAAGGGCGAGAATAAAGCAAGCAAAAGTTTAAGATAAAAAACTTCTTAATATGTAAAAAAAAACTAAGACTAAGTTCGAACTTAGTCATAAAACTACAAAATTGTTTAGATTTCCCCATTAAAAGACTTGGGGACTGACGTTTCTAAAATCAACCCTCAAATGAAGTTAAGGGTTTGATTACAATCTTCCAAAGTCAAAACAAAAATAAAATCATTTGAATGATTAAAACTGGTCACTGAGAAGTTTGTGGTATTGAGGCAGGAACGTCGATAGCAGCAGGCTCAATTTGGGCAGGTGCATCAGCAGGCGCGACTTCAACTTGGCTTGCAGCATCGGGCTCGATCAGGTTTGAAATAGTCATGATACCCGTATCAGCTTCAACATTCATGAGAGCTTCAGCCACGGGAACTTCATCCAGGGGGGAAGGGAAGTCCTGAGTTTGTTGAGCCTTTTCAATGGTTTCGTTGATTTTAGCTAACTCCAACTCCAGGTTGAAGTTTTCTTGGCCAGCTTCAAGTAGGGTATCACAACGGGAATTCAAAAAAGCCCAACTTGCCTCAACAACAAATTTTTCTTCAAGGATCTCATAATTCTTTTCCCAAAGGCGGAGCTGTGGGAAGCTTGTAGAGAGGCGTGGGAGCATTCTAAAGCACGCACCTTATCAGCAGATATTCTGAGGTCTTCTTGTGCTTGAGTCAAATTTTGCACAAGCTCCCCAGCGTAAACTTCCTTTTGGTTTAAAAGAGCCTTTAATTCTCTGATCTCTTCACTAGCTTTAGATAGCTGCTCTGAGAAGGAGGACTCGAGACGCTCTTTGTCTTTCTCTGCTTGGTGTGAAGAAGCTTTTGCAACTGCCAATTCTGAAGTTAAAGCCCGTACTCGCTGCTCTAAGGTATTCTTGCTCTCTTGTAAGCTCTCTATATCAAGCTGAGCACTCTCAAATTGCCCCTTCCAATTGGTTGCTTCCAATTGAGAGTCGCGTGCTATCTTCTCCAAAGGGGCAATTCTTTTCATCAACTCTGTGCCGATAAGATTGGCCTAAAAAAAGAGAAGAAATAAGAATCCCAAAGATGAAAAATTTTGCAAAGTAAAAAAGGGAGAGAAGGAAAATACCTTCAGAGTGGCATGCACGATATCATTCATTAAAGTCAGGGAACTGTGGCTCTCCAGCTTTGCTTTTTCAATTGGGCCAATAAGAGGCTCCAACCATACATCCGCCTGACCTGACTTTCTCAAAAGGCTGTTTTCAGCAGGAATTTCAATAGTTACCCGCCTCATAGCGGCACTTCTACTTGAAGAGCCCGTTTCAGTATGATGAACTATAGGAGGGAGAATAGTCAAAGGAGGAGTCGTAGAAGAGGTAAGAGCAATAGAAGAAGGAATGGAAATAGCTGGGGCCGGTAAAGAAGGAATCACAGGCACGAGTAATGAAAAAGATGATAAAGGTACTTCGTCTAAAACAGGCCCGACATCTTCACGACCAAATCCACTGACGAAAAGTTGGTCGTTAGACTCACGAGTATCGTGGGGAGTGACGTCATCATCAGGAATTATTATTGGGGTTTCAACAGGTTCGGTAAGAGAAACCGAAACTTCAGCTTCGTCATCGAAAGCGATGCGTCTCCTAACTCGTGACCTCGTTACCAAGGAACTCTCATTTTCCTCTTCAGCAGCCTTCCTTTTCGCAAAAGAGGAACCCAAGACTATTTCTCGGGCTCTCTCTAAAGAGATACGGGTTCTCGAAGGAGTACGAGTCCCCAAAGAGACACGAGAGGCTGCAACTGCTTCAGCAGTAACCTATCGAATAGCAAATCCTGACAAAAAGAAGGATAAAAGTTAAAACAATAAAGGAGAATATAGGCACGAAAAGAACAAAATGTGAACTCTTACCATGAGTCTTTACCTTCCAACCAAAGCGGTTAGAAAGTGTTTTCCAAGATCTACCGTCCATTGGCGCAATCTTCAGCAATTTATCTACCCAACCACGGAAATTGGGAACGTCCCCNNAAACAACTCTCCATATGATTGGACCAATTTGACCCAAGCAGACATTGAAGAAACGACAAAATTCAAGAATGACTGGGTCGATTGCTGGTCTAAACCCTAAAGTAAAAGGGTAAGTGTAAACAAAGAGAACCCAGTTAAATAGGAAGTAATTCTCTGATTCGGATTAGGGATAATAATGGGAAAATCATTACTCCAATGACAATCCTTACGAACCACAGGAGTCAAAACCTCTGTAATTTGAGTAGGGTAAACATCGACACGATTTAATGCCGAAACCTGGTTTCTAAGAGATTCCCTGTCATGGTAAAAAGACAATTCTAAAGGGACTATCTCATCTACTAAAGGTTCGCGTAAAGGTTCAAAATGATCTTTACCCCTAGAAGAAGATTTGTGAGAAAGGGAACCCCTGGTTCTAGAGGAAGGACCAGAACCAGAAGAAGGCATAGACGAACCGCCTCGAGTAGATCCTAAACTACGAAGTCTACCTCCCCTTCTGTGCCTAACAGGGGCATTAGGGAAGGAGTCAGTAATGGAAACTCTCTCAGGGTTAGGGCTTGGAGAAGACATATCGAAGAGGAATGATCTAAGGAAGAAGTAAACAAAGATTTGGAGAAATAAGTGTTCAATAAGCTTTATGTGATAAAAGACAAGGAAAAAAATTATATTTATACCGATAAACAACCGCCAAAGGTAAAAGTGCGGAGGTGGAAAGACCATAATTATGATAACTGGCACTTCATTAATAGTGGAACCGTAAAAACCTTGAAAAAGGCTGCAAAAATTGCAGAGCCAATGTAAAATTGATACGTGTACGAAATATTAAATGGAAGTGACAATTGAAGCGTCAATTTTGTCATAGCATTAATGGTGACAAAAATTCTCGTTTTAATGAAATCCACTTCCCAAATATTCAATTGATGAATAAATAGAAAGTGGGGGGACTATCTGTATTGGGAAAAATTGCATTTATATATGCAAGTGACATGTTGAGACACGTGGACTGGTCAAATAGTCAAAGAATTATAATTAGTCAAGAGGCACGGGCAGCAGTAGAAACGAGCAAAGGCAAAGGAAGAGGCACTGGAGGACATTTGAAGGACTCAGCGCCCGTACCTATTTAAATCATTTATCAAAAGGAATGGATCTGACCATAATAAAGAGCGCAGATATGGAATTCGACAGGCTTTAAATACTGGATACGTTAGAGAATTTGTATTGATTACAATGATTGTGTAACGTAGCATTCAATGTCTTTAATTATTCATAATAGCCTCATTATGATTTGGAGGAAACACATATCTTCAAGACACCTATAAAAGGAAGGTATCTGGTCATTTGTAAAGACAGGACACAATCGGAATATACTTTGATTCACTTGTTTTTCTCCTGATTACACTCTGGTTACTCTAAATTACTTTCTTATATATATTCTTTTGATTATCAGTAACCCGCGTTCTTCTAAATTCTAACTTTGACTGAAATTCTATTTTTTGGTTAAACAATATCATGGTTGTGAATTGCAGCTTCAGTTGTAGTTGTGGCTTTGTTCGGTTGAAGTTGTTTTCGTATTCCTTGGTGCCAACCTACTTCGCCATTTGGAAAAAGCAAAGGATATTGAAGTGGGTCATAACAACCATAGTAATGTTTGACTCTATGTCTGTTCCCAGAATGTTCATGAACGATAATCTCTCTATCAAATGGTACATTTGGATTATTTTCATCTATCCAAATTACAACAACTTGATCTACAAATGGTTTGTTGTAGACAAGTTGATCTTGTGTAGCATTGGCTGTGAGCACGTGATTTTTATTTTCGCGACAATCACTCCAAAAAGAAACGAAAATAATAGCAATTGATCTTGCTGTACAATTTCTGGATTTTTACGTGGCATTTTGTTAATTATCTATGATTTTTGCCCATTTTTTTTATTGAAACAAAACATAAAAAATGTGTTGTCATGTTAGTTTGAACCGTAATCCGGTCATTAAATGGAAAATCATAAAATATGCATTTTTTGTCCTGATTGTTGCCTTGGTTGATTTTACTTACTTTAAATATTTTAATATGCGTGTAATAATTACATTAAATGTTCATTAATAGTGTTTAATTTTATTTAATTAGGCTTTGTGTTTAAGAAAAATTAGAAATAAAAAGAAAGGGTGCAATTTGTTTTAAACAAATTTGGGCTGATTCCCCATTTCAAAATCTGAGGCCCAAACGAGCAGCCCAAGCCACCAGTCCAAACAGCCCATCTCCAGGCCACAAAAACGACGTAGTTTGACACCAAAACTACGTCGTTTCAATGCCAACCCATCTCGACCATCAAACCAAACTGATCCAACGGTCCAGATCTCTCACCCATAATCCCATTACCCGACCCGTTACCCGAACCAACCCTGACCCTTGCTAAGCCAAACGACACCGTTTCGTTTAAGCCTTCAGATCCAAGCCGTTGATCCCGATTGATCCAACGGCTGAGATCAATCCACCCATTCCATATATAAACTTTCCTATCATACCCTGCCCCC